CAGCAGCCAGTGGTAGACTTGTGAATTCAAATGTATAGGTGACAGCTTCCACCTCAGGTTCCCATTTGACAGGGCTCGTAATTCTATGCATTGTGCTGCCAGAGTCTACAGACTGCTTTCATATATGGGATCTCATTTATTTTCCATGCCAACCCTGCAAGGTTGGGCTGAACATCCCCATTTTATGCCTGAGGAAACTGAGGTTTGACAGATTAAGTAGTGATGTGTCTAGAGGCCTTTAGGTTTTGTGGGGCAGATCTGGAACTTGAAAGGAGTTTGCTGTCTCAGTTTGGCAACTCCTCAGATCCTGCCACTCAGAAGGGTGTTGGTGTCATTGATGCATATGTCTTCATGAGGGAGAGTGGAGACATGGCATGGACGGAAGGCGGGAGATGCCGGGGGCGGAAGAGAGGCCTCTGGTGTTGCATGTCACCAGGACGCTGTCCGCAGTGGGTTGACCCTTCCTGGCTGCGGGCCCTTCCACCAGGCACCCAGCTGAACCCTCACGTATCATTTCAGGAAGCTACTTTGCCCGTGATGCTGCGTATTCTCACCACTACAGCAAATCCGACACGCAGACCCACACGATGTTCCTGGCCCGGGTGCTGGTGGGCGAGTTCGTCAGGGGCAATGCCTCCTTTGTCCGCCCCCCAAACAAGGAGGGCCAGAGCAATGCCTTCTACGATAGCTGCGTGAACAGCGTATCCGACCCCTCTATCTTCGTGATCTTTGAGAAGCACCAGGTCTACCCAGAGTATCTCATCCAGTACACCACCTCCTCTAAGCCCTCGGTCACGCCCTCCATCCTGATGGCCTTGGGTTCCCTGTTCAGCAGCCGGCAGTGAGCGTACCGGCATGTTCCGGGCCTTTCGCCTGCTCTGCCTTGAAATGGTTGTTTGGGCCTTTCTTTTTCTTTTTAAACAGGAAACTTTTAATGAACTATTCGTTTAACATTGACTTCTCAATGAAGTTACGTTCTTAATCTCTTGCTAATAATGATTTTTACTTTTAAGTCACTTTTGGGCTCACTAGTTGACTAACCAGAAGTGATTCTAGTCGAGTCCAGTTTTGATTTTTAATAATGTTGTTGAAGTTTTATTTTTTACTCTTTGTGGACTTTGCTGCTTATTGGCACCAGGCAGAGTTTCTAGACACAATTTTATGGGTTCGTTTTAATTTTAAGAATGTGTCTCTGCAATGATTCAGATTTTCAGTCTCATGGCATCTTAGTTTTACTTTTTATCAGAATGACATAGTAGCTACCAGTGGAGGACAGCCAGGGGCAGCACAGTCACTTCTGCCTGTTGCCCTGGCACCAACCCAGGCAGCTCTGCTGTGGCTTCTCCTGGGCATTAGTTGGCCTGTGTCACATTGTCAGAACAGGTGGCTGCTGTGTGGTGCCATCAAGTCCCTGGTAGTTCCTCTTGTCCTGGTAGGGTCACCCATTGCCCAAGGAAGCCCATCTACCTGGCAGGTGACTTGGAGGAGTAGCTTCCCTGAGGACCCTTAGGCTTGGCCTGTGAGTGTCCAAATCCATGACTCCTAAGCACCCTGGACACCCTCCAAGTGTGGGTTTTAACATCCCTGTGAGATTGAATACCTGTGCCACAAATGTCGCAAAGAGTATGGAAATAAAAGAATATTTATCTGCAGTGGATGAAGACTGAAGCTCGTTTTTCTGTGTCTATTGAGCACCTGCTGGGTGCCAGGAGTTTTTCTGAGAGTCAGGGATTGCCTTTGTTCATTTGGGCCACTATAACATAACACCATTGACTGGTGGCTCATGAATAGCAGATGTTTATCTCCCAGGTTTAGAGCCAGAAAGTCCAACCTCCTGTTTCCACATAGATTCAGTGTCTTCCCACTGTAACCCCACACGGTGGAAGGGCCTCTTTTAGAAGGCACTGAATCCTATTCGTGAGGGCTCTGGCCTGATAGTCTAATCACCCCTACTTTTAAATATCATCACCTCAGGGGTGAGGATTTCAACATTGGAATTTTGGGGGTGACAGAGCTCATGTCGCTGGGCATGGTGAGCTATGTGTGGATTTATTGTAAAGACAATGAAGTTGAAGATTCAGCCCCTCAATTGCTGGAGCCCCTCCCCAGGCTCCAGCAGTATGGTCACATGGTTGTAGGTTTTGATAACATTTGCAAATGTTACATATCTTTATTCTCTTTCCTTCAATTCATACATTTCAGGCCCCATAAGACCCAGGTTCACCATTGAGCAGTGTACTGTGCATGTGGAGAGTGTGTTGTGTGTGTTCCCCACACGTGGCAGTTTACAAGAGCCTCCCTTACTGGGCATTGGCTAGTTCTGGTCCTGCTGGCAGAGGGGCTGGCAGGGCCGCTGGTGTCACCGGGCGGTCAGCCCTCCCGGCTTGGTCCTCACTGCCTGCTTCTTGTCCAGCCTCCACTTTCCTGAGGACATGTGCCTACTGGTGACTTGCTGCCCAGGCTTCAGTTGGCTTGCCTGTATTTCTCAGGTCCAAGGTGAGTGAATCCATTTTTCCATCTTTGGAGTGATCTGAAACCTTACACAGGCAAGTGCAATCAGGCCGGAGGAGAGCCAAGTTAAATGACCAGAGAAACAGCAAGGACAGCACAGCTTCACCCACCAGCTGGGTCAGCCACATGGTTGCCTGTGGTATGATTTTCAGATCCTCTCCAAATTTCCCTCACAGCCTGACTGATCCTGCCATTTCACTCATTGCTTCTTCATTAAGTCATTGGTCCTGCTATGGTGCAGTTGGGCAGGGGGCAAAAAGCTGTCAGAGAAAACCGTTAAATCAGTTACATGTCTGTTGTTAAGGTCTCACATGTAAGTGAACTGATTCTATGCTTCTGAACCATCTGGGAGCTGGGGAGACTCGGCGAACAGAACTCCTTTATTGCGGGTGTAGATGGGGAGAGTGGCCAGAAGGATCCAGTGAGAGGTGCTCAAATGCTCCAGAAAAGTCCACTGAGCTGTGAAGACTGCGGTAGCCATGACTGGATGACCTGGGAGAAAGCAGGTTAGGAAGAGCAACTCCTTACACCAGCAGTTCTAGGGAGAGTGGGAGCCACGTGGCCAGATTGCCTGATGATGGGGTTGGGGCTGTTACCAGTGCAGAAGGGGTGGGCATTGTGATGGGAAGGGGTTGAAACGACTGTGACTCTCAAGATGTTTGTTGCCAGGAGGTGGTAGGGTCCGGGACATGGGTGTGAGTGTGTGGGATTGGCCAGAATTTTTGTGAGGACCTGTAACCAAGTGTTCCAGGTTCTTGGCTTCCCCTGCCCCAGGAATCGGGGAAGAGGCCTGGAGGTATGGTGGGCTCATTCAAGTAAATATCGGACCCAAAGAGTTTTGCAGAAAAGCACTTTATTAGGCAGAGAGAGAGAGAGCGCGCGCGAGAGCGAGCGCGAGCGCAAGAGTGCTCCCACGCTGTCGTGGGAGGGGATCCAGAGATGGAGTCTGCACAGGTGAGGGGCAGGGAGTCTTTTAATCTGGGAGTTATTCCCGCCCCATTCAAGTTCTTGTACCACGAGAGGAGTTCCTTCAAACTTCCGCTGGAGGGAGTGATCTTGACTTTGATATCAGATTGGCTGCCAGGCTCACCATCCTCCCATAGCTTTTCGTTTGTCTTTTTAAACAAAGGGAGCTCACCTGGGCAGTTTACCTTTCCCACACTCGTGAAAGTTAGACAAAGGACTCTAGGCTCCCTGATGGAGATGCGAAAGAAGGCAGGTTGGGCATGTCGCTGGGAGATTTCTGCTTATGAAACCATGCCCCTCGTGGGCCTGGGAAGATAATACAATCCCTCAGACCCAGTTGGGAATCTAGCAAGGTTTTTTTGGAGGACCAGGCAATGCAGTTCCCTGCCCTGTGATAGCTGGTGTTGGACATGAACAGTGGGATTTAAGCAGAGGTGGGGTTGGTGGGTTCACACAGTAGAATAGGACCAGAGTCCAGTGACCTCAGCACATGAGGAAGCCTCTACCACTATGTCTGAAGGTGGTGACCGCCTGAGCTGGGAAATTGAGGGAAGCAAAATAGAGCTGATGGGCTGGGGGTGGGGACAGAGGGCCCAAGAGTGGGCTTAGGTTGTGGGGCTGTGCTCCAAGCAGGGAGCTGAGTGCTCCATTGGGCCTGTCTGCAGGCTGAGGTTCTATGGTGGCAGTGGCCGTGGAGAGGTCAGGGACTGTGGGACGGGATGGGGAGGACCAAACAGTGGAGGCAGTGTTCTCAGCAGTGAATATGTGGAAACCCGGCCTGCCAGCTCTCCTACAATGGCCTGAAGTTTCTAAAGGTGGGTCGCCAGAGTCGGTGTCACCTAAAGGCCTTATGGATTTCTACAAGATCATTCTCTATACAACATTTAGCCCCTTACACCTGCTCAGGTGTCAACTAGAAGAGAAAGAGGTCTTTGATCGGGGCCAGCCTCCTTATTTTACAGAAGAGGCCCCTGAGGCACAGGGAGGTGAGGCTGCTCTTCCCCAGCAACCGCGAGTGCACAGCCTCTGGTGTCAGAGCTTGAGATTCACCTTGCAAGTGCTTCATTGAATGTGAGCTGCTTAGCAATACAGTAATTATTTTTACAAAAAATTCCCTCTATATTTTGATTCTTTGATCAAAATGAAGATACGGTGTTCTTAAAAAGTATATCATTTTTCAGACTCATTTTTCTGTCAATTGAAACTTTACTATAAAGTTGGTACTACCCTACCTAGGAAAATCAAAGCATAATAAAGCTTTGGAGCCACTTTTGAGGTTAAACTTCTGATAAATGTCATTCTCTAAAACTCCACATTGCACAAGAAGCTGGAAGAGCCACTAGCTGGTGCCATCTGGACAGGCTTACCTGGGTGTCCTCCTGTGCCCTGTGCCATGGATTCCTTTCAGCATGAGCCTGGGACTTCCTTTAAAATCTCACATTCTCGGTTGTTTTGTCAAAACTACATTTTCACTTATCAGCAATCCTTCATTTAGAGAGTCAGATCACTGATGCAAACCCCACTGGCAATGTCAAAACCAAGTGCAACAAACGTTTATTAGGCATTTAGGAAATGTTACAGAGATGACTTCTTTTATCCTTGCATGCCAGGACTCTCTCAATCACTTCAGTGACATTTTCCCAAAAATCTGAATTTCCACACTCAGATTTTTTTAATTTGGGGGTACCCTCTCTCCCCTGGCGGCCTTCTGTGTCAGCGGGGTACAATCTTGATATAAACACCATTTTTTGGACCTAGGGCAGATTTGGATTCTAGCTGCAGTGGTACCTAAAATAGAGAAAATTAAAATATTTGTCAAAGAGATAGTAGCATCTCACTGTACTCATGAAGACTTGGAGGTTCAGGAAGGCCAAGTCCCTTGTCCAAGGTCACACAAGAAGAAAGCAGAGAGCAAAGCCCCAAACCTATCCTCCAGTGACTCTAGCCATCCCTGCTGATCCTCATCTCACTCCCCAGTCCTGGCCAGTAACTGAGCAATGCCCTCTGGCCAAGGGGCTTTGGGGAGAGCAGCTTCATTCTGTTCTGCTCATGCATGCTGTGGTCTGGCCTCACTGACATCCAGAAAGTTTTCTTATGTCCACCTTAAAAGGCAGAGCCGGCGGTGGACTGGGGGCTTCAAAGAAAAGCCAAAGGATTGCCCAAGAAGTAGGGCTTCCCCTGGAGCTGAGTGAAATGATGACCCAATGGCTAATGCAAGCCTTCACAGCTGAGTCTCCAGGGTCTCAGGGCTTGGGCCTGCACTTGTCTCCTGTGGGAACCACAGCTCTCAAAGGCACCTGAAAAAGCTGCAGTTCGCAGCACGTGTCTGAGCAGACGTGGACCAATGGGGAGCCCTCTCGGAGTGGAAAGTTGTGGTGGGGAATGCAGAATGGGCTCAGCCTTGTCTCGAATTCAGAATGCATTCTCCCTGGATCCAGCAGGCTCTGGGACTCATGGCTGGTTCTTAAGCCAGGGAGTGCCAGGCCTAAGTGTTCTAGGAGACTGGTGTGGCTGCTGTACTGTACCTCGAGATCATGGGGAAGGGAGTCAAGCCCCGCACACGTGGAAGTCCCGAGGCTGTGGGGCTGCTCCCCCATCTGCCCCTTGACCTCACTTGGTTTGGCTGATGCTGCCGATCTGCCCCTCCCTCTCTCCAGCCCAGAGTGTGTGGACGAGTTCACTTTCAGTACCTCAGACTGTTTCCTCCAACCAAGCTCATGATTCCTCCAGGACCAGCAGCCGGTCCCAGGTTCTCTGTCAGAGGCACTGCCTGTCTCAATCTAGAATTGTCGCTGTCACTGTGTCCTTATGCTTTCCTATGCCCACCTCTCCAGGTCTGCAGCTGAACAGAGGGTTCTGGGTGGCAGGACCAGCATGATAGATGCAGGGGACAGCAATGGTCAGGATGGGCAGGGAATAGCCAACGCTGTGCAGAGACGCAGCCGGATGTCAGGAAGGAGGACTTGGGAGTGAACAGGATCTGGGTCAGGACCTCCGTTTCTTTAATCTCTGGCTGCTCATCCATTTGTTCATTAATGTTTGTTGAATGAATAAGTGAGCACCTGCCATGTGCACGGCATCAAGCTAGATGCTGGAAAGTCCAATAATGAATATGACAGGCTGGGTCCCTGCCATCACGAAGCCTGCAGTCTAACTGTGTGTCCTTAGGCAAGCTATTTAACCTCTCTGAGCTTTGGTTCTTCATCTGAATAATGGGAATATTAACACCTACTTTGTAGGATTGCTGTCAGCGTGAGGTGGGGGGCTTATAAGCTCCCGACCTACTGTAGAGGAACTGGTCTGCTGGCTCTGGAGTGTGTGATGGGTGGGGGAAACAGGGCTGGAAAGTGGGTGGGGCCGCATTTCAGCCCTCTGGGTGAGGACAGGGTCTGTGCACCAGTTGAGGACCTCAGGAATGAACGCCTGTGGTGTTGGGAAGAGCCTGTGTCGCCACCTGATGCCATGGGGACACTTGAGTGCACGAGGGGGGAAGGCAAAGCTGGGGGCACCCTTCAAGGAGCTGAAACCCCTCAGCTTCCCCTCCAAGCACACAGCACCTTACTCGGTCAGGAGGGGCCAGAGGATGTGTCCCCAGCTTCTGCAGGACAAGCCATGCACCCCCCCCCAAAAAATAGGCACATGTCACAACTGCAGATGCCATTGTCTGTGTGCTCTTGGAAAGAGGGAAGAGCTACAGCAAGGTGAGGTCCAGCCCTGATGTGCAGAGAGCCATAATAACGATGGTCAGCACGTGCTCGGGTTAGTGCGCCAGGGCTTATCTGTGCTGTGTGAACTCACTGAATCCTCACAGGATGTCGAGAGGCAGAGGGTATTATTATCATCCCTGATTTACAGATTAATAAACTGAGGCCAAGGGAGGTTAAGAAGCTCGCCCAAGCTCATGGAGGAAGAGCTCTGGTGCAGAGAACTGGGGTGCCCCCACCCCCACCCCACTCCCGGGGCAGTGGGGCCTCACCTGGGTCTCCGGGCAGGCTTGGAACCGGAACTTGTGCAGCACGTGGAGCAGTGTCAGCTTGACTTCCAGCAGCCCGAGCCGCACCCCGAGGCAGCTGCGTGGACCGGCGCCAAAGGGCAGGTACGTGAAGGGCCGGTGCTGCTGCCGGGCCTCAGCCGTAAACCTGCAGGTCCGTGTGGTCAGGGCTGGCCCAGAACACCCGCTCCCTCCCCTCTGCAGCCCTGTGCTCCAGCTGAGCCACCCCTGCATCTGAGACGAGGATGTCCCGAAGGCTCTGGGAGCTGGTGGCTGCTCATTCCTGAGCCTCAGTCCCGCTCTGCTCCTGTCCGCCTGTCTTCCTGCACAGCCCCGGCAGAGCTGAATTCACAGAATCACCTGCAATGTCCACAGCGCCCTCCCTGCCTCTCCTTAGGAATTCAGTGCGTGGCTAATAAGCCCACAGACTTACCGCCACCCACAATTAGAGTCAAAACACAGCATCCCTGAACCACAGGGCTCGGCAATCACAGCCCTCACCTGGGCCCATGGCACCACCTTCCCTCCCACAGGATGACTCAGCTACCAACTGCTTACTTCCTTGGCAGGGTACCAGGCACCTCCGCACCTCCCCAGCCCTCCCTGGGGGCCATGACCTGCTTGCTTGCCCTGCTGGTCTCGAGCCACACTGGCAGTGCCTCCCCTGCCCACACTTGCTTGACAGGCCTCAGCACTGGACACTTGACCCATTGGGAGCTGCAGTACCTGGACGGCTGGAGGCCTTTCCTCGGAACTGCTGAATCTCCCACCAAATAGCGCATTTGCCTGCAGCATGTGGCCCATGACAATGAAGCTAGATGGCACTCACTCTTCTGTAAGAGTGAGCTCACTTCTTACTGCCTCTGGGCTTTATCGTGAGGCTGTAAGCCCTGTGGCTGCGGCGTGTTCAGGAGCTGCTGACTGTGGAATATTATCTGCATAGATCCCATTGCTCACACTTTCCCAGTGGCTGGGTTGTAGAGTTGGGCTGAGTTCACTTGGAGCCATGAAAGGTGAAAACACAACTGGTGCCGGTCCAGCCCTTCCCTTGCCAGATCTCACACACAGGGGATATTGACTGGTTCTGATGAGGACCAGGGTGTGGCCACCTGCTCAGATGTCTCCAACCACAGAGCCCAGAAATGAAATGAGACAATGAACCGAAGCCAGGCGTTGGAAGGAGGGGACCCGGGTCAACCAGCGGACCCCATGAGCTTAGATTCACGGAGACACTGGCTGAAGCTGTTGTTTTGGCATAGCTGCCCATTTTTAAAACAGGAAATGATGCTCTGTTACTTTCCAGTGCAGACCTGAAATACAATCCTGTACCCCATGTCCTGGCTTGAATGAATGGGAGACAATCATTTGAAACTGCCTTGTTCCTTGCATGCAGAGCTGCTGAAATGCTCAATCTCTGGATTCACTTTGGAACTTAAAAAACGGTATAATTATTTCCTTTAGAAATCATGCCTTGCAAACATCTATCTGAATTCCCATAACTTTTGACTACCGGGGACAATGTTGCTAAGTCTGTACCTCCGGCTGCTGCCTCCACTGGTAAATTTCGGCCCCACACACTCACATCCCTTCAGAGCTTTTTAATGGGGGCAGCACTCACCGTTCAGGGTCAAAGGTCTCAGGGCTTGGCCAGTGCTCTGGGTCATGGTGCAGGGCACCCACGGCCACCTCCAGCACGGTGCCTGCGGGGATGTGCTGCCCCAGCACCTCGCAGTCCTGAGCCGCCTCCCGTGTGAACCTGAGGGAAACACCAAATGCGGGCGAGGGGTGGCTGGAGGGTTGCAGAGTAGAGACAAGCAGCAGAGCCCGGCGTGGCTGGGCAGGCGGAGTCTGAGTGTGAAGGAGAGCAGCGGCAGGCAGCACAGTGTGTGGAATGAGGCTGGGGGACAGAGGACCCCCTGCTCAGCCCCCTTCCCAGGGTAACCAAGCCCCCACCCATTAGCCCTCACTGCCTAGGAACCTGAAGCCCTCAGGCTAGGCTCGCTTGGTCCTCGATGAAAATTCACTCATCCATCCCTTCATGCATCCATTTGTCAAGCACTGAAGGGCCCCTCTTGTGCCCTGTGTTGGGGTGCAAAGTGCTTTGGAAGGATTACTTTCATAGTGGGGACTTGGAGGGCCATTCCTGGGCCACAGCCCATCCTATCTTCCCATCCACAGTCAAGCCTCTTAAAACTGCTCTCACTCACCCTGTCACTCCCTCTGCCCCCATTTCACTGTCTAGCCCTGCTGCCTGGCATCTGTCCCCTCCCTCTCGTGGGTGGTCCCCATGCCAAGATCCCCAAAGACCATTCATGGGCACGACTGATGAATACCCCTCAGTCATCATCTGCCTTGGTTTGTTTGTGTCATTGACTGTCTTCCTCCTGCATGTTTGTTTTTTCTGTTTTCATTTGGAAATAATTCCAAACTTACAGAAAAGTTGAAGAATAGCACGTAAGGTACCCGTGTATCATTTACCCAGATTCACCTGCTGTTCATGCTGTGTCCTCCCCCTCCTCCTTCTTCCTTTTTCTTCCTCCTCCTCTTCCTTTTTTTTTTTTCGAGACAGGTCTTGCCCTGTCACCCAGACTAGAGTACTAGTCTGAGATCGTGCAGCGGCCCGATCTCAGCTCACTGCAACCTCTGCCTCCCAGGTTAAAGTGATTCTCCTGCCTCAGACTCCCTGGTAGCTGGCATTATAGGTGCCCGCCACCACGCCTAGCTAATATTTGTATTTTTAGTAGAGACAGGGTTTTACCATCTTGGCCAGGCTGGTCTCAAACTCCTGACCTCGTGATCCATTCGCCTCAGCCTCCCAAAGTCCTGGGATTACAGGTGTGAGCCACCGTGCCTGGCCCCTTTCCTTGATTTCTAATAACATTATTTGTGTGGGTTTCCTCTTCCATCACTGGCGCTCCTTCTCCCTCTCATTGGCAGGCTCTTCTGAATCCTCTTAAATCCTGGTGCTTCCCAGGGATTTTGTCCACACTCCCAGATTCGACTTCCATTATCTCCTAAGCCTCCTACCTCAGCCCCAGCCTGAACTCCAGGTTCTAATTTCTGCCCACAGACCCGGCCTCTCCCCTGGATAGTCCACAGGATCCTCGAAAGTTGGCCTGAGCAGCAGCAGATTGTCAGAATCTTCTCCTTCTGTTTCACACACAGGCTTGAGCCAGCCGGAAACCGGAAGCCACCCTGGACTCCTCCCTCCCCTGTCTGCAGATTCATCAGAAGATGAATATGGTGCCATCTCCATGTTTTGCTGCCTTTCAGGGTTCTCCTTAATTGAGATTCTCGTCTCTCCTTGACCTCTTTCCAATCCAGTCTTCTCATGACAACCAGAGCCGTGTCTCTGACACGTAGTTTTGTCTGCTTCTTCCCGAGGACGGCTGCTGAGGACAGGGCTCTGGAGCTGGGGCAAGTCCCAGGTGCTTGAGGCTCTGTGGCCCCAGAGCTGAGGCTGGAGTTGCAATTAGTTGGTGAAACCTGTCGCTGAAAGTCAAAAGGGAATCAACGGATGAAGTGAAGCCATGAGTCGGAGAAGGCAGCAGACCAGACACCCGGAAGACGGGCAGTGACTTGTGATGCACAGTGAGAGGTAGTTTAGGACCAGGGTTTGAGATTAAGGCCACGAGCAGGTCAGGGGTGTCGGAGGCTGCTGGCGTTAATGCGGTCTCCAGCTTTGTCTGGTCAAGCTGCATTCAGAGCTGAGCATCGGGCCGGTGTTCAGGGCTCCTGGTGCTATGATATCACACCCCAATCTGAGTGCTGAAGTCCCTGTAGCTTCTGAAACATCTGACCCACCTTCCAGTCCCCCAGCTCGGGTCTCTTCCGTGAGGTCTGCCTGTGAGAGCTGTTCCCAGTTCCTGGGAGAGTTCTACCTACCTCACCTCACCCGTTTCTTACAAGGAACACCTGTGACTGCAGAAAACACCAGCAAATCTCTCTCTTGCAACGTGAAAACCTGGCATGGCTCTGTTAAGCTTGTGCCTTGTTGATTACGGCCTCGCAGGACGCCCTGGGAAACAAGTCTGCCTGGAACCACGCAACTCACCTTTTGGGCTGAGCCTTGGGACCACCTGTGTCAGGGACTTCCTCTCTGCTCCAGAAAACTCTTGCCAAGGAAGATAAGCCTCTGAACCAAGAAATTACTTCACTGTTGGCTTCAGGAAATGAATGCAAACTGATTTGTCTGGGCAAACCGCTTTCCTATAAGGATAATGGTTCACTTGCTTGAGCAAACGGTTCGCTTACCAGACAGCAGTCTTACCTGTCAGAACTCCCTTCAACTCACCTGCCTGTATCCACCCATTCCTAAATTGATATGTCACATGCCCAATTTCAAACATTCCTTGCCATGAAAGGCCTGCCTTCAACCTCTGTAGCCCAAACTCCAAACCTTCTAAGTGTCCTTTCCTGATCTGCTGGCTTTGAGTTCCTGTTAAACAAATGTGCTGTCACCCTTCAGACCTACATGCAACCTTCTAGAAACAAAATTCAAGGTGGAGAGCTGAAGAACTGCTCTCTTCCTGAACTTGGGTAGACTTTTGGACTTTGAGTGTCGAGTACATGCTCTCGAGAGTTCTGGTCGTGGCCGGGTGCGGTGGCTCACGCCTGTAATCACTTTAGGAGGCGGAGGTGGGTGGATCACATGAAGTCAGTTAGAGTTTGAGACCAGCCTGGCCAACATGGTGAAACCCTGTCTCTACTAAAAATACAAAAATTAGCCAGGCATGGTGTCATGTGCCTGTAGTCCCAGCTACTCAGGAGGCTGAGGCATGAGTTGCTTGAGGCAGGGAGGCAGAGGTTGCAGTGAGCCGAGATCGCGCCACTGCACACCTGAGTGATACAGCGAGACTCTGTCTCAAAAAAAAAAAAAAAAAAAAAGTTCTGGTTACAGTCGATTTGGGATTTTAAAGGACGAGAGAGATCGTTTTAGGTCAAAGGCAGAATTACAACCCCAGCTTTCCTTCATCACCTCCCCGCACCTCTCAGCCCACACCCTCCCCAGTTACTTCTGTGGCTAAAGGTTTCCATTGAGAAGTTTCTCTCTGACTTCAGCATTATCCCACTTCAGCAGATCTGGCTCACGGCAAGAAAACAAAGCCCCGCTTCCTGCCTCCTACCTTCCAGACTTCCGGCCATTTCCTATCCCAGGTAACATGGGGCTTGGGAGGAGACACCAGTCATAGCCTCCGTCCAGGCTGGGCCTCGAGATACCCTCCCTATCTTGCAAGGGTCTGTTTCCCTAATGCATCCTGCACACGGGCTCCCACTCCTCTACCACCCCCACGTGGCTGGAACCCATGAACAATCTTCTGAGTCTTAAGTCCTTCTCACAGGACACGATAGCATCAAACCACCCATCAGCTGCCATGAGAATTCTGGAATCTTTCAACACCAGAATTGGTCCTGGTGAGGCTGGATTTATTTAGTTACTTATCTGCTGATCTGTTTATTATTTCATTGTGGTAAAATAGATATCGCATAAAATGTACCATTTGAACTGATTTTAAGTGTGCAGCTCTGTGGTGTCACTACATTCATTGGGCAACCATCACCGCCATCCAGTTCCAGAACTTTCTCCTCTTCCCCCACTGGAATTCTGTATCTAAGCACTAACTCCCTCCCCTCCCCTCCCTGGTCCCTGGCAGACAGCCTTCTAGTTTCTCTTTGTGGATTTGGCTTGCTGAGTGATTCCTGGTGAGGGAAGGAAATTTGGGTTTGAAAATCTGTTCCCTGTATGTCCCTACCGATAGCTTCTCCTCCCAGAGAGGAGAATATTTGATCAGCTTGTTCGTTTTGCCCAAGAGCAATCGCACAATTTCATTTATGCTTCACTTGTAAAGGGTGGTCTATCTATGCTTACCTATGAATGTAACATTTCTAGAGAATACTTACATTTCTATCTTTCTCTTCTCTAGGGGATGGGACTGGGATGAAGATGGCAGGGGGCCTTTTAAAAATTTTTATTCTTCTGCATTGTTT